TTCTTTAACCTTCTTTTTAACACTTTATTTTCCTCTATCCTTTCTCTCATGCCACCCCACACACTTCTAGTTTGTTCTTCATTGTTCTAATATGACTTTTCCTTTATGAACCTATTATAGGTTAATCTCCACCCTTTAGATTTTTTATCCATCTTTTCTTTAGTATCTATATTATTTTCCCACCACACCATTCATCATCATCTTAATTTTAAGACTTTAAATTTTTTTGTTAATCTTATTTATTCAATCTGATCATTCAATCATTTCATTTTTCCCTCTTTCCTATTTTTATCTCTTTCTTTTTCAAGTAAAAATTTTACTATACACTCAAATATTTTCTCTATCTTCTATCACTTCTTATGCTCCCCCTTGTCATTTTCTCAACCTTTACCAACCTATATTCCATATTCTAACCAATTTCATTCTTTTCTAACCTTTTTTATTCTTCATCTATCACTGCAATTTTTCTTTCCAACATATCCAGTCTATTTTCCATTTTTACTCTTTATGCTTTCATCTTTTATATGAATCTCTAGCTCCATAGTCTACATTTCCACTTAGCCATTGACTCATACTTTTACTTAAAAATATTCAAAGATTGAAATTAGATGACTACTCTGATCTCCTTGGCTTTGATCACCTTTATTCCCCTATTCCTTTTTTTTTTCACATTCTTTCTTGATTAGCCCTTTAACGTGTCTCATAATCTTTTATTTGTTGATTATATGCTGACTTGTCATTTTGTAGCTAAGTTTCTAATCCTCTTCCATTTTTTTCATCCATTTCTCCGTCCATTTCCTCTATCATGTGCCTCGTGTTTCATTTTTCCCCACGCATCATCATTTTTTCCTCTTTTTCAATATGTCCTTCATTTTTCATATCACATCCAAATTTTGCCTTTGCTTTCATTCCTTTTCTTATAGGTGATGCCTTCATCCATGATCCATACCTTTCTCACCCTCCATTGTTTCCATCACTTGCATTATGCTCTTCACATATCCTTTTTGTATGCCCCAGCTTCTCGCACCTAAAACAAAAGTAAGATAATCTCTCATATTTTAACCTTACTTAAAACCTTGGCTTCATAGGTTTCTCTACATAAATCTTAACCTTGACTCTTAAGAAACACTTCCTAACCCTTATCTCCTATAAAAAAAGCTCTTTTATGTCAATCACCTTCTTAATACACTTATAATCTTTTTGTATTTCCTTTGGTTTGCATTTGTAATGGCAGGTTATGGATTTGAATCCAATACATGACTTTAGAAAAACACGGTTCTTCCATTATTTTCTCCACTTTCCATTTCTATAGATTGATATTGTAGACATCTTATTTTGTCTAAGAACTTTTTCATATAATAAATATGCTTTGAATTTTACCATAAAGATGGATTACAAAATTAAAATTGGTCCTTAATGGTCAAATTGAATTATAAGTCCAAAAATATCAAAAACCCAAAGTTGAATTTAAAGCCTAAAATTAAAAGCCCAAAAATGCTTTTTATGTATTTTTATGTTATAGTTTTTGGTTTTTGGTTTTAGGTTTTATTTTTAATTTTATTTTTTATTATTTATGATTTTTTTTTTTGCTAAAAAAATGGTCAGCAAACAGAAAATGTGGTGATTTTGTGAAAAGAAAGGTTTGATAGATTCAATCATGGAAAATCTAAGAACTTAAACTTTAATCAACTAAAAAAAAAAAGATCGTAAACAAGTGGATCTTAGAAAATTCTCCTAGATTTGGTTGTATTTAAAACTTTCCAAACCAAAAGGGATTGAACCCCTATAAAAAGAACCCCGAATATGTGAATATAAGGCAAATAATAAGCAGCAAGTAATTAGTAATCTCAAACAATCAACTAAGGCTAAATTTTTGGGGTTTAGGTCTTTAAATTTAAAGTTTTTGGTCTTAAAAGGTTCTAGTATTTTGTTTTGGGATTTAAGAAAGTTTAAAGTTTCTTTGGTTTTTGATTCTATGATCTTTTTGCAATTTTGGGATTTTAGGGTTAATTTTGATTTCCAGTTTGATTTTGAGTTTATGGATTTGAGTTTTTAGTTTTTTGTGAAATTTTGGGATTATTTTGAATTTCTAGGCTTTGGGGAATTTATTTGAATTTTTGGAATTTTTGGCTGGGTTTCTATTTGGAATTCTAGGTTTTGGGTTTGTTTTGATTTATTGGTTTTTAAAAAAAAATTTAGATTTTTTTTAAATTTTTTAATGGATTTATGGTGGTTAAAAGATTTTCACAATTGTCGGATTTTAAGATTTTCTGGGTTATGGGTTTTGGTTGAATTTTCTGACACCATTTGAGTTTTTTAGTGTCGGATTTTGGTATTTTTTTGGTTGGACAGTGGGATTTTCTAGTGAAGTTTTGGAGAAAAGGCAAATGAGAAAAACCTAGAAAGAGATGGGGGGAGCTATTTTAAAAGAAAATCTAAGATTTTGTTTTTTATTAGAATAAAAAACAACATCATTTTAAAACCTATAAGATTTGTGTGTTGACCCATCAAGAGTTGCGTGTTGACCCACTCCAGACTCTACCTGGTTATAAGTTTTCTTTTTTTTTTTTCAATTTTGATTTGATTTGATTTTCTTATATTTTTTGTTTTTATTTTTTTATTTTATTTTATTTAATTGAGATTGAGTTAATTATGATGAGGAAAAGAAAAAAGAAAAAAACCTTTAGTAAAGATTTTTATAATTTTATTTGTATGATTTTATTTGAATGCTCTCAGTTGATTTTTTTGCGTGATATTTTTTATTTTTTATTTTGTATCAATTTAATTTGCTTTCATGATTTATTAATTTGCATGGCTTATTATTGGCATGTTGCATGATATTTTATATTATTGCATGATGTTTTTATTGCATGGTATTTTTATATATGATTTATTATATATTGTTTGCATGATTATTTGATATTTTCTACAATATTTTTTATAGAATTTTTATATAGCAATGTTGTGTAAATAAATAAGAGGATTAAAATTGATTTATTTGCATAATAAAAAATCATATTTGATTAAGGCTTAAACAAGATAACATGTGATTAATTTGATACCAATTTTGGACAAAATGGGGTGCTAATACATTCTCTATATGTAATTAACTCTCGAGCTTAGTTTGTTGATGTAAATCAAGACCTATTCTTTTTAGAGACACTTAGTTTATACTTAAGATAATCTTGAAAAAAATACATTTATATTGGTAACCAATCACACTTAGGTAAAAAAAAAATTGATGGTGACTCTATGATTTTTGTGTCTAATGAGCAATTTTTTGGACTTGAAAATTATGACAAAGACAATGCCTGATAACCGTCCATGGCCCCTCTTCCATGTCTTGCAATATCTTCTTTTTTAACGTAAATTCACTACATACAAGTTCATCATAGTTTTTTTACTCTACTACCTCTTTTCTTGATCAAACACTCTTCAATACACTTATCACGCCTTTATGATTCAATGCTTTATCTGCTATGATCTTTCCTAACAATGTGAATCTTGTAGCGTTCTTGATTTCATCCTTTTCTGCTTCCAGCATGATTTTCAATTCCTCCATTTCCTCCATACAAGCTTAAACTTGACTTTAAATGATAATTAGGTTTTGGATTATGGCCTGAGGTTCATTAGTCGAGTGATTACCATATCCATTTTTCCCTAAACTCTACTAAAATTACCAAACAACGAAACATGCAAATCCTAATAAGAGACCCTAGTCATTCATTTATGATCCATTGCTATCAGCTCAAGAAAACAACGAAACAAGAAATCAAGAAAACAAAATCTAAGAAAATTGACTCGAAAACAACACGAAAATAGTAAAAGACTCCAAACGGTTAGGTAGAAGCACCTAATACCCTAGCAACGAAGATCGAAAAAAAACTCAGAGAGAATTCTAACTTAGAGAGAGATGCTTTCAATGTAGAGAGAAAAAAATCATCATATTTTACTTAAACTCTTATCTACATTGGATTGATTATTTGATTTTGCTTATTTAGATATTTAGTTAATTGAGATTTTTTATCTAATAACTATAATTAGAACTATTCTAATCCTAACCATTGATATCATAACCATATGCGAAATGGTGGATGAAATTTCAAACAAATAGTTAGTTGGTCTTACAAGTTAAGTAACACAAACTTAATTAAAAAATTTGCATAAAGATTAAAATAAAATAATAATAAAATATGTAAGTAAGGATACTTATGATTTTATCTTTTTGTTTTACATATATTAAAAATAACTATCCATTTAATAAATGTGTTTATGATTTGAACTGAGCCCCATTTATATTTTAAAGGTTTTGTCCAAGACTTTGCCCATTCCATATATTTATGCTTAATGAAACCTTTTTCATTAATTAAAATAATATTAAAATATTTTAAAATTTTATTTTAATAAAAATATTTTTATTAATAAAATAATAATTTAAAAGACCATTCAACTTATAAATAACTTTCCTACGAGTTTATGAATCGATGAAAATTCAAATTAGATTATACTAAAATATAATAAAAGATACAAATTTTCTTTAACATAAAATTTAAATATTTCTTAATTAATTTTACTTGGAAAATTTTAACACACTTGTACTAAGGCAATTACTTTCTTTTAAACACATTTTTTCTTACATATATATTTTTTATTTTTTATCTATTTTTATTTCATTATTTATTTATTTTTTTGGTTTACCCACATAATGGTTGTCGTCGTTGGTGTCAAAATATTAGTATCTATTAGCAGATACCATTATAAGTGAACATTTTTATGGTGGGTATGTCAAAATATTGTATCTATAGTTTATACTAATACTAAGATGATTGATCCTGCTGGTATCACGAATTAATCAAGCGTCGATTTAATTGATAAATTTACTTAAAATAAAATTATAGTTACAATAATAAAGTATAATTAAAAATATTTATATCTTTTAGTTTTAAAAAGACTTGGTAAACTTCTCACACATCAAATAACTTCTTTTTTTTCTTTTATACAAAACATAATTTTCTTTTTTTCATTTTCAACTGCGTCATCATGCTGTACAATATCTAGTTGTGAAAAATGTTGTTAGTAATGCTCTTGCGCGCGAGACTCATATTTCGGAATGAATGTGTTATGTTCCAACCGGCGTCGTTTTCCACGTGAAGGCGCTTTACCTCGAGCGGAAAACGATTAAATAATCTCAAACTTGTATTATCCCTCTGCCCCTCAAAACCCTAAACAGTCGACAGTCCCCCCAATCATAATAATCAGGTTTTGCTAATTCTCTGTCTTCTTTCTTTTCCTTTAATTTTTTAATATGGATTTTTTTCATTATATTTTTTGTTGGTATTAGTTATGAATTCTTAATCTCAATAATTACGTCCCAATTTAGGCAATTTTCTTTTTTGGATTCTGAAAGTTTGATGCGATGAAGAGGGCAATGCCATGGAATGATGACGAGGCATCATCTTCTGATGAATCTTCATGTTCAAATTCGGACTCCGAAGCTGAAGCTGAAGATGGACCTCCCAACACCAAGTCTAAGAAATCATTCCAAGGTAGTACTTTTTATTCTATCGAAAACGTTATTGAATTGAATGGAATGGATATCTGCCTTCACTTGTAGATACTGAAATCAGGATTAAAAAGAAGAATGATTGTGTTTATTAGTAGTGGCATCATGAAGTTGAAGAATGCTTATATTTATTATGATAATGTATGTATGTATGTATGCATGTACTTTTTGCCAGAATAGAAAGCGTGGTTGTTGGAAATAGCAGAATCATGAATTTTGCTTGCTAGAGGGTACTGCTGCCGTTTCCATTAAAAGTTTGTGCAACAAAGGTACAATAGGATGCCTCTAGCCATATTGATTTTATCATAAGAGAAGGAAATACTGCTTGTTTACTTGACGTTCTCTCTTGTGCCTACTAAACAAAAATCTCACTGAATGCTTCAATACATATCCACACCCGGCAATAACACCTGAGTCTGAGCATTATAAGCTTTTTTTTCTCTAAAATTGGCATGAACAGTGTACTGGTGAGGTTTGAGTCATATAAACTGAAATATGATTATTGATTGCAGAATATTCCTTAGTGTTCTTTCTCTTGAAATATATTTCTTTGTATTTCTGACCAAAGAAAAGCCATACCTGGTTTACCTTCTTTAAATACATATGTGCAGCAAAGTCTGGTAAAAAAAAGAGTGCTGCTTTGGATTTTGAAGCATTGAAGCAACATGGCTATAAGGGAGGGTTATCTGTCCTAAATGTACCTCCTCCAAAAGAGAAGCCAGACTGGTCGTGGTCAACTGGCAAAGAAAGTCGTGAAACCAGGGAGGTTAAAGAATCTTTTGAAGACAGACAGAAAACAAGAGCTGCAATATTGGATGCTGAGGAGCTGGCTAATGTACAAACACGGAAAGAGAAACAGAATGTTTCTTTTTCACAGAAGGAGAAGCGGAAAAGAGAACTTGGTCAGGCTAGTAGGGGGAAGAATTATGTTGAAGAAGAGAAGAGGTTGCTCCGGGACAGTGGCATCTATTCTGGTTTTGATACTTGATCTGTGAGGGTAGCAACGAGCTTTCTCATCCTGTATGTGATTTAGAAGACTAGTCGTATACATGAGCTTTCTCATCATGTATGGGTTGTAGAAAACTTACCATATAGAACACTCTTGTGCTAGATACTTGGTTGTAACATCTATGTGGTAGTTTTGAGAAAAGCAGGTTCCATATTTGTTTTACTTAAAGATGCTTAATTATCTGACAGGGCATTTTATAAAATCAGTGAATTAACGGCATGTATGGTTTGTATTTGGATTTAATGGTTAGCTCAAGTTGGGGAATTGGCTTTTAATTCTCATTATCTATATAAGAAGTTCTCTACCTTTCCTCTCAAGAACTAGGTGAAAAATGAACTCATAACAGTGTTATTCCTTGTCGCTTTAGACGATAAATTATTCAAGGTTGGGAAAAGTTGCAACTTCCCTTCTATGCTGAGAGAAGCTTCTGGTCATGAATTTTTTTTTTATTATTTTGTTTTTACAATTACTGCAGGACCACTCGGGAGATTTCCGTGTTGCTTCACCAGGAAATCTGCCCTCCTATATTCAGAATGCGCCACAGTTTCAGATGGGCTCTCCACTCTATCATTTCTCATTCTCATGCACATCTTGTAAACTTTGTTTATCCTTGACTTTCAGATTCATTCAGATAAAATGAAGCAATTATTGAAACATGGTTCTTTATTTTTAAGGCGGGGGACTGGGATTAGACATGTTACAATGATTCAAGCTAACAGATTAGACTGAATCAGATTTCGTTGTCTTACGAGAATTTTCTCGCAGGACACTCCATTGACAAATTGTATCTCCTTCATTGTTGCTCTGCAGCTGTGCCATATTCTGAATATTAAGGGGATAAGCTTCGGTACTAGATTGAGTACTGTAAGCCTCTGTTGCGATGACCAAATTCCATGCTTCCGTAGTATGGACAGCGTCCCAAAACACGTACTGACTTCGGTCAGCACAAGGATCTGAATCAGGGACGCAAAGCTCTCCATCACTCGCTATTTCGCAGCAGCTAGCATTTGTCACTGTAAAACCTGGAAACACGAAAAAGAAATAAAGGAATAAACCTTTTTAAGTTTTTCATTCTATATATTAATGAAGTTCCAATATTATCTTTTTAAAGAAAAGCAGTAACATTACCGAGTGAGTTTGCAAAGCTAGTTCCAGAAGGATTTAAATAGGTAAATTTAGCATTGGTTAGATTGCTATTGAGTTCATCAACAAGTGATATAAGCCTCTCATTGAAAAGTTGAGCAGCATTGTTCAATTTTTCTACGCAAGCCGAGCCATTTGTTCCGTACACAGCTATTGCATTTGGAGTACAACCTATCGAACCAATTCCGAACAGGGCAAGCATCCTTGCTCCATTATTGTATAGATTCTGGTGATAAGAAAAAAAAAAAAAAAACACTGTCAAGCCTGGGATTTCTTTTCTCAATATCACAATCTAAGCCCATTTTTTCCCTATTATTTCAACCTTTATTTGCTTTGCATATTGTTCAATGAGATATGCAGCATATTGCTCTGGAGTGTATAGGCGGCTGGTGTTGTAGAACTCTGGCATGAAATAGTTGTTAATGTAGTCATTGCTGCCGATTTGAACCGCATATATGCATTTGCTTAGAAGCTTTGAAGCTGAACATTTTCCCAGTATCTCAGCAATTGTTGAGATTATAATTTGGTGGTTGCTTAACTGCATGTTCATGCTTATTCTATCACCCTGCCCAGTATAAATATAGGAAAAGAATTTTCAATTTTTAAAAGTTGAAATAATACTCCATTTAGCTGCCGACTTTTTGTTTTTTCATTTTTGCTTTTATAATATAGTGATAAACATACTGTTGCAACATGAACAGGTGCAATTTTATTGTTATTTGTTGTGAAGTGTGAAATATAAATGCTGCGATGCAGGATAATTACCAGTTGTTCTCCGGTTTCATTGAGAATTCCTGCCGAACCAGATGCATAATTCACACCTTTGAGAATCTCTTTGCCTCTTGAAGTGGCAAAAGGAGGAATAAATTCTTGTAAATCCAGTAGTTGAACTGTCATTATACATATTAATATATAGATAGTAAATAGTATCCAGTAGTTGAACTGTCATTATACATATTAATATATAGATAGTAAATAGTAATGCGATACCAAATAATTGCTGTATATTTTGCATACAGAGGGAAGAAAAGGCATACCAATGATATCCTGCATGGTTCGGCCATTAGTAAACCTTCCGGTGGGTCCTTTAGGAAAATCGATCCCGTAAGGCGAATAATTTACTTTGGCTGTCGTCGCAAGGTTGTTGTTGTTTCCGTCATCCGACAATGAGTCCCCGAAGATGAAGTAGCAGGGCACCTGAGGTTCTGCATCGGAACAGTTCTGAATATTTGAGACTAACAAGAAGGAAACGAGCAGAAGCAACCATGGCTGACACTTAGATGCCAAATTAGCCATTGAGGAGACGAAACTTGAAAGATAGATCAACAATGAAGCAGAAGATAAAGGAAATATAAAGAGGTGAGAGAGATGAAAGGTAGGAACAAGGAAGAAAGTTAGTTGAGGCAAGGAACAGGGCAGAAACAACGTACATAAGCTTTAGCCAGAAGGAAATGTGTTAAACTATAGACGTACTAGCTTTTTTCCAGCCTTCATACTTAAAAAGAAATGGTTTTTTAACCTTTTAAATAAGCAAAAATAATCTGTACATTGTACTATTAAAATATTAGTATTAGATATATATACTATCAATCAACGGCGGATTATGTTAAACCAAGGTCTTTATAGATATCTCCAAAGATTAAAAAATATAAAAATTAAAATTTTTTTTTCATATCTCGAAAATTTACCCTAATTATCATTCCTGTTAACAAAATTAATAAATACATTAGAATTCGTTTTCAATTAATATTAAAGAGTTCCATGTATTTTAATTTTTTAAGTTTTGTTAAAAAAATAAATATAAAAACATAAAACCCTGCACTGAAGTAGGACTAAAATACTATATCTAAAAGGTAGATCTAATAATTTAAAATATAATACAATATAAAAATAATATGAATAAAAGACATGAAGTAACACGATTTAAAATTTTAATAAAAATCATAATAAATTTAATAAAACTAAAAAAATATATTTCATATTTTTATGTTGATATGAATTGTGATATATAATTTTCATGTAAAATATTATATGAATATATGAATTATTAATATTTTATATGACATAAATATACGAATTATTATATCTAATAAAAGATCAAGAGTAATACTATAGGTAGTCATATATAGAGGTGCAATCTATACAATGAAAAACTCGACTCAAAATTTGTTATTCGAAATTCGATTCAAGCTCGATCAAATTTTAATTTTCAAGTTTGAATTATACTTGAGATAAAAATTGATTTACTTGATTATACTCATTTATCAAATAAGAAAAAAGCTTGATTCCTATATTTGATTTTAAACTCGATTATCTGTGTTTTAACTCAAACTTGAATTACTATATATATAATATGATAAAATAATAATTTTAATTAAAATAATTAAAATATAAAAATTTGATTAAATTTATAAGTTATTTAAAATATATATTATAATATTTAAATTTAATTCGTTTGATAAATTAAATTATTTGAATTTTAATTTAACTCAACAATGATAAAATAAATTTAAATTTTATTTAAATTAAATTTAAATATATTATAAATATTAATATATTATTTATATCCGCATATACAAGTGCCCCTAAACACCCGCTCATCGAGAAACCACTTATTGCCCATTTTCACTATTGAATGATAGAGACCAAGGCTCCATTTAAATTCACGTGCAGCATCGGTGCGAGGAAAATTTTTGTCTTTTTGGTATAATCGTACCATTGTACTCCGTTTGGATGTCCATCAGTGCAGTGTGATTAAGATCCTCCACTGCAAGCGAGCAATAATTCACTACCGGTAAAAAATAGTCTACTGAGCGACTGAACTGGACTATTTACTATAATACCATCGTTTTTTTATTTATATTTAAAGTAATTAATTTTTATATTTTACCTGTTTAATATTATTTTATTCAGTTTTAATTTATATAAATATATTATTATCAATTTTTAAAAAATATATTATTTGACATAAAAATAATTTTTAATCATTTATTAATTTTATAAATATCAAATAATTTAAAATTTTTATTATATATAAATTTTAATCTAATATTTTTAATGATAATTTTTTTCTCATTATAATTTACTTTAATGTCATCATTACGTTTACATTTAAATACATATTTTATTATAAATTTTAATTTTATTATCATAATAATTAAATTTATTATTATCGTTATTTTTAATCTTATTAAAAATAATCTCACTATTTATCCAAATAAATCCTAAATCAACTTAAATAAATGTGGGTTTTTTTTATTAGATTCATTGTGTTAATATAAATTATTATACAAATAATATTAATCCATTAAAAATTTTTTATTACGTTATTGTATATTTGTAATTTATTTATTTAATTAATAAAATTTAAAAATTATTCTTAATTATTTATTAAATTTAATAAATAATTATTTATTTATAACTAATTTGTTAAATATTTAATTCATTTTTACTTTTGATAAAAAATAATTCTTTTTCATCATGTAAAACTACGTCCTAAACCCAAAAACTTTATCGAAATTTTAGCGTTAGAACTTCAATAACTTGCAACCACATAAAGCTTTCAGAATGGATTATGCCCAACCTTGGGCAAATAGGGCAAGAGTGATACGATATGAGACGTACGGATCATTGATAGGTGTAGAATGAGAAGGTGTCAACGTCAAGTGAAGGCCGATGGGATTTGACAATTCATATATTTTTTTATATAAATATTAAATTTATATATTTATATTATATATTATAATTTATATTAATATAAAAATAAATATATATTTTTAATTTTATTAAATATATATAATTATTAAAATTTTAAATCTTATATATTTATATATATATATATATATGTCCCCTTTGTATTTAAATTTTTACTCTTAAATTTTACTCCTAAATTATTGCTGGGGCAGCCAAGCAGATAATAGCTTTGCGACTGGGCCATCAATTATTTGAGTTAACACGACGTTAGGACAACTTTGCTCAGTGGGTAGGCTATCAACTGGTCATGATACACAAGAAAACATCTTTTTTCATTATTAGAGACTTCCTTTGTATCTTTTAACATTCGTTTTTGTTTTTGTTTTATTTTTTTTTTAAATTTTGGATAAAACAAAGTAAAAGGTACATGCACTAGTTGTGTGCGTGTGTTTATTTTTCCCATCTTCTAAATCTCATTAAGAACATGATCTTATAGACCATGATTTGATATAGGCTTAGTGCTCTGCCAATTTCTGAATGTTAAATGGGTAAGCTTGGGTGGAGGAATTAGTCCCGTAAGCACTTTTGGCTAAGGCCTCATTAAAAGCATCAGTAGGATGGACTCCGTCCCAAAACACAAATCGGTTTCGATCATTACATGGCTTTGAATGAGGAATACAGAGCTCTCCGCCACCGCCCCCAGCTGTGCAGCATGAACCATTCGTCACTGTGAAACATGAGAAAAAATAATTAAGGAAGAGCCCTTTAAGTTTCTTGATCATTCAATAAAAAAGAAAAGCAACATATATAATAATATTATCAAGTTATTTACCAAATTTTGTAAGAACAACTGGATCTGGAGCAGGATTTAGATAGCTAAATTTAGCATCGGTTAGATTCGTATTAAGTTCCTTAACAAGTGGCAAAAGTCTGTCATTGAAAAGGGTGGCAGCATTGTTTAACTTGTCTACGCAGAGAGAGCCATTGGTTCCGTACGTTGCAATTGCATTCGGAGTGCAACCAAGCAGCCCCAGTCCATACAAGCCAAACTTCCTTCCTCCATTGTCGTACAAAATCTGGTAGTAAACATCAGTTAACAAAACTCTTATTTTCTTTTCTTAAGGGAATGATTAATGGTTTTATATGGTAGAAAATAAATACTAACCTTTATTTGCTGTGAGTATTGTTGAACGAGCACCGCAGCAAATTGCTCAGGAGTGTATTGGCGGCTGGTGTTGTAGAACTCTGGCTTGAAATAATTGTTAATGTAGTCATTGCTGCCGATTTGAACCGAATAAATGCATCGACTTAGAAGCTTCTTTGTTGATGAATCATTCCCTAATATCCTAGTGATTCTTTTGATTATAATTCCGTGATTTTTTATCTGCTCGTTCAGGGATATTCGAGCACCCTGCAAATGATCAGAGGAATATAATAATATTTTAAATATCATGGATATTGTAATTCTTGTGTGAATATATATGAAGCAACGTGAAGCCAAATTATCGAAAAGATAAACTAATTTAATTTATGGCCAAAAATGAAGAGAATTTTTCAAAGAATCTTATAATTTTCTATCAATCGGCCTATTTTGAGTCAGGAGGCTCGATACGGTCTAAATAAATTATTGAGATATGCAATTGGCAAATTTATTCTTTAAGCGAAATCTAGCAGTTCAATTAGGCTATCAGAAAATGGAACTTGAAGTTGATGCATCAGCTGTTAAGTCCCTTATTTGTTGGAAAAACAATAGTAACCGTTTTCTTTCTCCCATTGTTATGGAGTGCAGGATGCTGCTGGGAGGTTTGAAGATTTCAAAGTCACCCATCCTCACAAGGAGGCAAATATCTGGGCTGATGTCACCAGCAGATTCAAGTTTTTTTTTTTTTTTTTTGAAAATATCTACTTATAATATATATAAAACTATGACGATATTAATTTTATAAAAAAAAAAGATGTCTGTAAAAAAATTTAACAGTAATCATGGAAAAATTTTCCTTTAATTTTTTTTATTTTCCAATTTTTGAGGGTGCATGGATCTGCCTATAGCTGACACGTTAGCTCAACAAGGAACCCATAGTGCTACTAAGGTTTGTTTTTTCTCAAAGTCAATGAAAAGAATAGATAAACATTATGGCAATGATGAATATTGCTTATGAAATTTACCAGTTGCCTTCCACTTTCATCACGAATTCCTGCGGAACCAGAGGCATAATTCACACCTTTGAGAATGTTTATCCCTTTCGCTTTGACAAAGGGAGGCATAGAATCTTTGAAACCCAGAAGTTCAACTTTTATCATGTATATAAAAAAAAAAATTACATTAATCAAAGAATATTGGTGGACAATGTTACATATCCACCTTACAAAGAATAAAGGCATGCAGTGTGATGAATATATATATATATATATATATATAATTCTTTCTTAGTCCATTCATCTTTCCAAAGAGAAAAATATTTAATTAAGCTTGAAAATAAAAAGAGTTTGAATGCAGATGGGAAGAGAAGGCAAACCAATAATATCCTGCATATTTCGGCCATTGCTAAACCTTCCCGTTGGTCCTTTCGGGAAGTCAATCCCGTATGGCGGATAGTTCACTTTGGCCAACGTTACGAGGTTATTATTGTTCCCATTATCGGATAATGAGTCCCCAAAAATAAAGTAGCAGGGCAGTTGGGATTCTGCATTAGCCCAGTTTTGCAAGTTTAAGGGTACCAATAATGATATAGACAGCAGCCACCATGACTGAAGAAGCCTATCAAACCCCATTGAAGAAATAGGAGAAAATTTTAAAAAGAAAAAGGTGAGAAGGAGGAGGGGAGATGGCTTGGAGGATACAGACCAAAAAGGACTTTATATAGGGGTGAAAGAAAAACAAATTGAGTTGTAAGGAACATGTGCCAGATATTTTATTCGGGAAAATCATGAGTTAGTTATAGAAACAGAATTTGTAAGTCAAAGTCCAGCTCCTCCTATAGCTTTGATTTGTATGGAAGAGATTATGGAGATCCAGTCTACCATTTGGTAACTATAAATAAAATTAAGAGGGAGACCTTAATGCTAGGTGGCTATGCACTGCTTCCAACTTCAACTCTTAATTTACCTTTTAACTAAGATCAACTCCATCACTCTTTTTTCTAATATTTTTTAATATATTTATATGTGAAGATTTGGATTCAACTTACAAAATATTATCCGTTTTCATGTAAAAATTTCATAATTTTATCTTATAAAAAAAGATCACAAGTAAAAATTTAAGTTTCAATTTATATATCATAATAAATCTTTGTAATATTCTGATATAGAATTAGAAAATTACAAATTTCTTTTGTTAAAGTTTGACGGAGATTACAAAATATTTAAAATCACAAAAAAAAAAAAAAGAGATTACATCAAATATTGAGATTCTAAAAGTAACTTACATCATATAACACTTAATTATCATGATATAACACTTAACTTATTTCTACAGGTGATTACTTTACTATAATTTATGAAAATTCACACTCAATTTATGAGATATTATTTGTTTTGACAAAAAATCTCATAATTTTGTATTACAAAAAGCATCTCACAAATATAAATTTTAATTTTAATTTATATATTATAATAAATTTTAAAAATATTCTAATATGAGATTGAGGTAACACATTATAATTATTTTTTTATTTATACGTGTGAATTGAAAATTCTACACTTATAAAATGGAGATAAAAATGTACATATAAAAAATAATATACAAGGGAGAAGAGAGAGGGAAGTTAGTCTTGTTTAAAAGGTGTTAGATAAAATTTTTGATAATTTAATTCAATTAATTTATACAATTATTTTTAAATTACAATCGGATACAATTGAACCCAATCAGACCTCATTAAGAATCTAGTTACCATCATTTTCAGTGTCGATCGACCAATTAAGATCCAAATGGATCTCCGGTGCGGTGCAGTAGATGGTAATTAGCCATGGGATCTTTTTAGTCTAGTGGTTGATCGCAAGTTTATTTTTTTATTCCCAATTTTGTCCCTCAACTTTTAATTAAAACCCCAAAATATCCCTTAAACAATAAACTTATTTCTTTATTTTGTTTTTTTATTATTAAATAATATTAATAAATAAAATTTATTTTATATAATAAAATAATAAATAAACTTTATTTTTATTTTTTATTAAACAATAAATTAATAAATAACATTTATTATTATTATTTTAAATTATTTATTAATTTATTCTAATTCCTTGAATAGTTATTTTTTTCACTATAACTTATCTTATTGTCACAGTTGTTTTTTTATCTAAATATATATCTTATCATTAATTTAAATATCATTATTACAATAGTCAATCTCACCTTCACCAATATTTTCAATCTCACTACATATTTTTAATAAATAACATTTAGTAAGTTTAAATATTCAAATCTCAATTTTCTATTTTCAAATTAGAACCTCTTTTGTACCATGTTGAATGTAGATTGTATTTTCTATACAATTACTTTAATTTTATTAATGCATTCTCACATTTGAAACACCATATGGTAAACTATATGAAATTAATTTGACTCAAATCTATTACAAAAAGGTTAGTTCGGTAATGTTGGGTTTATGCTCTACGCATTTTGTGGAGTTCATTTCAATTTTTCTATTATGAGTTAGCTCCCCTCCTCTAAGAACTTTTTTGTTCATTACCTTTTAGTATATCAATCATCAACGTAGGTAATCATAAATTGTGAAACTAATAAATTTAAATGATGATTAAAAGTATTATTGTTGTATTTGATCATTTTAAATATGATATGATAATATTATAAAAAAATAACATAAAAAATTATATATATATATATATATTTAAAAAATGTGTCGTATTTATTTATGTTAACTCAAATTTTGATATGACATTATTTATGTCTTACACTTATTGATATGATTAAACATATGTAATACATGAAATATTCGTATTAATTGTATTTATTCGTGTCATGTTGTGTTATTTGTGATGTATTTAAACGTATTAATTATACACATGTTAATGTATCGTATTACGTATAACATGTTTAATAAATATATCATGTTCATAATTAATATTTAAATATATTTTATAATTCATATCGTAATGGTATTTTAATTATTGATGTCATTATATGTGTCAGATACAATACTAGACATGACACATATACATGTATCAGATACAATATGAGACATAATATGTATATACAAATTATCAAGTTTAATTATTATAAAATAATTAAGCAAGAAGTATAATTAATAAAGTATTATTGCAAATTAATTGAAAGGAAGTATAATTAACAAATGAGAGCTAGATCCATTAGTTTGATTTCGATAGAAATTAGAAAAAAAAAAGAAAAAGAACTAATTCATAACTCCGACTCAATTTTTTCTTTTTTAACGCTGGACCTATATAGTAGACAACGGGTTCCCAAACCAAACCATAGAATTTAATTTAAAATTTCTTTATGAGTTCTCTAAAAAATAATTTGTTTATGAACCTATACACGAAAGTACTCCTTATAGTTTCAGAGGGCCGGGAAAGAGCTATGACTTGGGGCGCCCAGCCTTGAAATACTGACTTGGTTTTGAGTAATTAATTTCAATATATCTAAAGGAACGGTAAAATATGGTTGTAGGTCGATACAAGAAAATCCAATTTAATGTTAAAATTACAAGGCTAGAATCATTTTTCATTAATCTAATTATAAGAGGTAAAGTGTTCAAATCCCATTATTAAAAAAAATTTTGTCTTGATAGAAAGATTATTCATTTTAACAACAAAAATTTAATCTCTAATAATTTTAAATAAAAAAAATAAGATAGACATGACTCTATATATACTATATTTAATATATATTAATTCATAATTTTTTTATTGGTGTAATTATTTGTAAATTTATTTTTATATTTTCTTTAACCAATAGAATTGAAGAAAGCAGTTTTCCAAAATGTTTCACGTAAAGCTAAATCTAGAGTAAATATGGCAAATTCGGTATGGCGACACAGTGGGAGAGTTGGCTTGCCGAACGTCCCAAGAGCTATACGCTCTAGGTTAAAAGGGTGGGATTGATTCGTAAGAGCAGATTTATTTATTTATTAATAACTAAACTTGTATACGGTATTAGGTTTTTTTTGGTTGTTATTAAAGCCAATTAAGTTTTTTTAATGTTTAATATATATATATATATATATAGAAATTAAAGATCAAATTATTTAAACATAACAATTGTTAACGTTATATAGAAATGTTTATAGGTCAAGCTACTTGCCAAATATGCGGGACAAACTCAATTAGAACATATAGTTTTCAACATAAATTGTGAAGTTGGGATCTCTGACAAAGATATTATTATATGAAATTAAATATATTTTATTTAAATTTAATTATAAAATATATTTTACAATATTAAAATATTAATACGAAAATATTGTTTAATATTTTAATATAATAAACGTAGTTTAAATTTTCATGGGTGAACCAGGCCTTACCGAATTCATGGATGGTTTTATGGCATCACATAATCTTACTTGCCTTTTATAAATTTTATGTATAACCAAATTGATTGTTGTCAACATGTTGTTCCTAGTAAAGAAGTCATTGAGTGGGATCAACATTCCGATCTAAAAAATTAGAGTCTCAAATTTTATCTAAGTTCCTCCCAAATTATTAAATGATACAATTTAGACTTCTTCATGTTCATCCAAATAATTTTTTAAATAAAAAATAAAATTATAATTTTTTATTTAATTTTTAGTAATTTTATCTTTTTTATTAAAATTAAAAATATGAATAATTTAATATATTTTAAATATTTAATATTACACATTTATCCTTTCTATATATTATAAATTATGTAACATATAATATATAAATATAAATAATAATATATATTATATAATAAAAAAAAGTTAAATCAAGTTAAGCTCCAGCCATGGACCTCAGATTCAATCCATATTTTAAACAAGCTTTATTTTTTCAAACTTGAATAAAAAGTTTAATATATATTTTTAAAACTTCCTAAATATTGGGTTAACCTTTGGATTTTGTCTCAAATTTTTTTGAAAACCTAAAAGAAAAAGAAAAAGCAAATTCTAATTAAAAATTATGGAAAAATACATAAAAAAGATTTTTTTTTTAAAAAGTAAAGGTAAGAGAATGAAAATTCTAATTAGGCATGAATCTTGTTGATGCCGAGCTCCGATGTGAGGATACTCCTAGAATGATAAGAAAGAGAAGAGAGCGGTTAGGTGCAAAGGCAGGGAGTGTTCACTGCGTTTGCACTCTGATGCGCAAGTCAGAGATCAGAATGAAAGAGGTCGGAAGGAGAAAAGAATAAATGATTGAGACAAGATGGAACCTGGGATGATAATACTTAGATATTTATATTTATAGATGAGAGATGGGACCAATAAAGGATAATAATGATGTGGTCGAGCTGATATGGCACTGAACATATCAGGCCAACTTGACATGTTAGGTTGGCTTAAATGTTTAAAATGCCCTTAGTTGTCTGCTAGGAGTCTCTAATGAGAAAAAAGACTATCATGCGCTTTAGACCACTAAATACTTCCAACATTCTGTCCCTTCACTAAGCAGTCCGAGTATCAGATGATTGGGTGTGGTTAATTCATTTTGCACAGGTTGGCCAGCTTAAAGGGGGGCCACAAAGAATCCAATCTCCCATGGTTGAGGTCGGTATGGAGGCCAGCATCAAGTGACTATTTATTGTTTACTTTGACTTGAGGTGCTATGATGTATGTACC